CTCTCTGTTTGCAGGAAAAACTCAGTTTCAGAATTTTTGTCAGGTATTAAAGGGAAGCTAACAGCCGAATAATTCCCAGATCTGTTCTCTTTCACTTTCCCAATTATCTTAACGTCCTAGGCTGCTCAGTGCTCACACTGTCTGGGAAGTAGAATTTTCTTTTGAAAATACAGCTACTGGACAGAAGAAAAAACAGTTCCAAAATGATGGCATAAAAATTTGGAGAAATGGTTAGCCTAAAACTCTAATTGGCACTTTTTGACATTTTAAAGGCATTAAGTATTTCAAAGCCATTAAGAAAATGGCTATTATTATAAAAGTTACTTTAAAAGTATAAAACAACCAACAAGGTAGTTAACTCCAAAATATTTCCTTTGAACAGTGAATACCCCATCAGGATAATCTTACTGCCATTTGAATTAGTAACTAAAATGTTTCAAATATTGCCTCTAAATAGTACTAATGCAATGTCTTTTGTGAAGTTATACTTTCTTAGGATTGGAGACTGGCTTTTCTACACAAGCATGATGCATTTCCTTTCTGTATGCTTTGTAAAATTTTGACTTCTTTGGGAAAGAATGAACAGACTTAATTTGGTAGGGCAATCTGTGGTGGTCAGAAGACTACACTCAGTGTTTTCTCTCTTTCAAAAACATGTCTTTGCAGCAGTATTTGTTCCTTGTCTCCTTTCAACTACTGTCCTACATTTATCACTCACTAATTGAGAATTCTGTGTAAGCATTCTGTAATCTGTGCAGAAACGCATTCAAGAAAATACCAAGCCAGGAAGTTGTGATCTTTGGTTGGATTCTAACCTGCTTAAATGTGAATCCTCAGTTGTAAGCTTAGTAAGAATATTATTAAACTTTTCCTATTGCTCCTTTGAGTGTTCACTGATCTGTGAAGACAGACAAGGAGATGAATATAAATGTATACCTTGACCTGGGTAATTCTAAGAGATATTAGACAAACCTAATCTTGATTTTTTAAAAATCCTGTTATATTACATAGAATATTTACATATTCATTTTTAACCAAGGAGACGGAAAAATAAAAATGATATCCACAGACTAGATTTTATACGAATTATTATTGGTATTATTAAAGTTATTCTTGAAATTTATTGTCAGCTATGTCTACTGCTAAAAAACAAAGCAAAACAACAAAGCCTTGAACGGTTTGTTTCCGAGTCCATTAGAAGCCATTGGCGACCTTATGAAATCAGGTCTTATAGAGAGGTGAGGATGTATCTTCTGGGTGAGCTATGAAGAGGAATATTGTGGAAATGTGATTAGTCTGTCGAGCTCAGCAACCAATGCTAGAACTTAGGCTTCTCAGAGCACTGAGCCTGAAGCTTTTGAGAGTTGCCCAGTACACAACCTGGTCAAACTTAAGCAGGGACCCAATAACCATTTGTTCATACCTAACATCAGACATCTATGACGCCGAGTGCCAACAATGCATGATTCTTGAGGAAGTGAAATCAAGAGCATATTCAGAAAAAGGAAGCAAAGAGTTTAATGACAGGACTATGGTTATATTTGGAAGATTATAGCAATAATGTATCCAATTATGTTTTAAGAACTAGGCAGAGCCAGAAAGTAACACAATAGTAACAACAACAACTGCTTGTGTAGGCTGAAAGACCCATGGCTTAAGAAGCCTATTCTCATATTTGTTGTCTTTGTCATTATGGACAAGTGACTAATAGGACATTAAGAAAAGAAGCACAGGCTGAGTATGGATGGCTCACACCTGCAATCCTAACTACTAAGGAGGCTGAGATCTGAGGAACATGATTCAGAGCCAGCTCTGGTAGAACAGTTAATGAGACTCTTATCTCCAGTTACCCAGCAAAAGGCTGGTAGTGGAGCTGTATTTCAAGTGATAGAGCGTCAGCCTTGGGAGAAAAAAGCTAAGGGAAAACACCCTGAGTTCAAGCACCAGTATGGGCACACACGCAAAAATGTAAACTAGAGAACTTTCATGATAAGACTTGAAGTTAGGGTTCAGAAAATGTTCTTGAAGTAGATTTCTAACTCCCATGAATTCATGATGTGGGGGTTAAAGCGAAAGACTGAATTAGCTGGCAGATGTAAGCTTATGGTTAAGCAGAAGCTCAGTATCTATAATATGTTTCATGAAACCAGCCTATTGCAGTACAACTCCATGAGATCTATAGCATTCTGGGCCTCCTATTGAAGTCCATACCTGAGAGCAGAATTTTTTTCCAAAATTATTTAAAATTAAGGACATAGGCCCTACTATGAAATGGACAAATGGAACTATATAAATCTTGATTCATTATTTCAGAATTCAAGATGACTCATATAATGTAGCTATACCAGGAGGAGGAGAGGCTAATTTAAAAAATTTACAAATTGTAATTACCTTCTCAAAGAAATATCCAAACTTGGTTTCAAGTATACTACCAGATCTTCACCAAGTATGCTTTGCTTTATCGAGTTCAGCTTCCTTGGGGGAAAGAGCATTCTGACAAAATGTTGTGGTAGCTAAATAACTGGATTTTTTGCAACAAGGACACTAAACAAAGAAAGGTATCTCTTCCCTTCTGGGTCTAGTTGCATAGTGAGCCATGGGTTACCGTGCAGTCATGGCTAACTCCGAGAACTATACTGGGCACAAACAGTCCTGGAAATGGCACAGAAATGGCATTAAGAAACCTTAGTCACAAAAAAGATCGGTCTCATAAGGAGGTAGATCCCAAGTTCCCGAGGAACATGCACTTTGCTAAGAAGCACAGGAAGGGTTTTAAGTTAGATGCAGGCAAACAACGCCATCTTGGTGCTGACGCCATCTAGAAGCAAAAGAAATGAACAATAAATGCAAGATCCTGTAGGAGGTCACTCACAAGCTCCAGTGACTTGGTGTATGTCACCCCCACTCTCCCCAAGTATAAGGAATGAAGTTGTATCTACATTGCCAAGGGTCACAGGCTTAACTGGTCAAAGGCCCAAGCCCAGGCCCAAGCCCAGGCTGCAGTTCCAGCCCAAGCTCCAGCTCCTGCTCAGGCCCAGCTCCCAAGAGTACCTGGCTGCCCCTGAAGGCCCCAGAATAGCCGTCTCTGTCTGCCAGGGAGACCAGTGTGACTCCCCGGCTGCCATCTGCAGAGGGCTGGAGTCCTACGCAGGTTCTGCAAACAACCTGAGGCCAGATCTAAAAAGGAAAAAAAGAAAAGAAGAATAAAAAGATGTCAATTCATTTAGGCTAGAAGCAAGCAGTGGAAGAGTTAATTTAAAAGAGGCTTAACACCGCCGGCAATGGAATCTGCTCTGCAGAGCCTTAAAAATAGTCCAAGCATTCACCTCTCTAATGCAGAGATGGTTTCAGCCCATGGAGTAGCTGCAGGCCAGCCCCGGGCCTCGCTGGTTCCCTTCCACCTCAGAGTCTATGTAGGCTAAAACCATATCCAAGGAGGCCTCATCAGCAGGGTAAGCAGCAGTGATGTAAGCTCTTTACTGACTACATTACTGTCTGACCGTGTGGAATAATAATTGTAGAAGTGAGGAGGGTCAGAATGTTCTCTGTACCACACGGTTGGCCTTGCCAAGACAGATCACACCCACTACTAGCAACAAGGGAAGGCCAAAGCCCAAGGGAAAGCAGTCAGTGCTGAGAGTCAGTGTTCTGTTAGCACACATCTGTCTCATGGCTTTATGAGTGTGTGTAAAAGTGCATGCACCTGTGCATGTGTGTGTGTGTGTGTGTGTGTAAAAATAGAATACGTAAAATTAATTGGCAAGGAAATTTAGCTTGAACCAAGAAAACATGTAAGGAAAGTACTGCCCTAGTTTCTTGAGATTAGACTAATCACGCTTTTGATTCTGATATTATACTCTAGGACACAGCTTTGGGGTTAAAGGCTTCTTGATTACTGCCCATGGTTGGCAGACAGGGCTTTCCTCTTATAGATGAACTTTGCACTTGTCTTCTGACACTGCTTGGTAATGACTGGCTTCTCTCTAGGGCTGAGAAGGCAGTAGAGCAGATGGGCCTGGGGGTAGCTTAAAATACCCTGCACTCGATCGCATGGTGTGTGGGTGTCTCTGTTGTTTGTAATCGTATTCCAGTTCAACAAAGTGGTGTGACTTGCCTTCCCCCAACAAGGATGTTCCCTCTGAAGGATTAGACTGAATTCAGAGAAATATTCCGTCTTACCGAAGCTCCTAAAATATTTCCCAAATATATTTAGGCATTATATTTGAGGAAAGTAATTTAAGGGCTGTGCCAGGCAGCAGAATGTATAGATGAGAACAACTCAATAAAAGTCTACTTAAAAAAAACAAATTTCCTCAAATGGTCTCAGGTAGCCTGTGTGGGGTGGATGGACTGCCAGACTGCAATGATTCTGGTTTGTTAAGGAGACATAAACTTGCTGATCTACAGCCTAGCAAATTTTATAAACAGGTGGTAAAAAAATATGATCTTTAAAAATTGTTTTCTGTATCTCCTTTAAATGCTGGGGTTTTTTTGTTTGTTGTTGTTTTTGTTGTTTTTCTGAAAGGTCACTTGAGTTTTCTTTAGGAAAAGGAGTCTTCCTTCATCTCTGACCTTCTCTTTAAGTCTTCCCATTAACTGAGTTGGCCTCAAGGTGATAAACCATAATCAATAGGAAGGCTGGTTACTGCGAGGTGCTAATTGACATCCCAAAGAGTGGGGTAATGTCAACAATCGATAGAGAAGACAGAGAGCTGGTAGATTTATGGCTTTGATTTTGAAAAGGTATGGGAATGCCCAGCGATGTTTTCCCTGGACTCCTTTTGAATGTTAATGCTGTCTTGAAGATGATTTCAGACACACTGCTAGGATACTGCTCTACGCGCTGAACAGAAGCCTCTGAAGAGTTGCTGAGGCAGAACTGAAATCATGGCTCGCCTCAAAGAAGCAGCTGTACTGGACGCTAATGAGGCCTCGCACAGAGGGACCATGCTCCTTTAACTCCAGGTTTTAATGGGAAGTTTTGAAGACAGAAACAACAGCCTTCGATCTGGGGTGTGCCATCAGCTGCTCGTGGCTACCACTGCTGTACCTCGGCTCGATCGGCAGGAATGGAAAGTCAAGAGGCTTCTAACTACCTGTAACTGTACCAGCAGGAAACAGATCAAGTGTTTGTTCAGCCAGATCCAGGTATTTCACAACAATTGTACCTTCGATGGGGCTAATTGGATGCTTTCCTCTAACTTTACAATTCATGCATGAGCAGTAATCACATAGGTGCGTTTTGGGTCCAAGTTCTGAATTTAAATCTGGCTGTTAAAGTCTAATTAAACAGTTGCTAGGGAAAGTTAATATGAGGGGATAAAAATGCAATAATGCCTTTATTTTTAAAAGCATGCTTATGCTTAAGTTTATTATGGCATTGATATTGGATAAAGAAGTAGGAAAATAGGCTTTTTTTTTCCTTCCCCTAAGCTGCAGTAAATTATTCTTTAAAGCTGTTTGCTTATTGCATTATGTTTTTTCCATTCACATCCAACCTCCCAAAAGGTTAACAAGGATGTTTTGATGTGTTTACTAAGACCACAACTCAACAACTCCCAATAAGATTGCTGCCTGTCCCTGGGTGCTGAGCACTGGGGAGCATTAGCAAGGGGTCTTTTTCTCTGAGAAATGCCCAAGGAAAAGACAAAAGCAAAACAGATGGAACAGCGGGGTTATTATTTGAAGTGAACAGTCCCAGTTTGCTAGTGGTGCCAGTGAATGGGGCGCTGCCCAAGTCCCAGGAAGGTGAATATTCCCGGCTGGGCTGCAGCCTTTCCCCTGCAGTCCCTTTAAAACTCTCTCAACTGTGTTGGCAGGAGGATGAAGACAGGGAAGTACAGCTCAGGGAGGGTCTCAAGAGGACAGGCAGCAGAGAGTCTGGGATGAAAAGGTCCACTCCCAAACCCCTCATGCGGCCGAGGCTGCAGGCTGACTCTGCGGGCATTGAGCGCAGACCAGACCTCCGGGGGCTGCCACCTCTTCCCAAACTGCCTGTTGACATTTGTAGCCGACTACATTCCCATGTTTGCAAAATGGCTGTGGGATTTCTGGTAGCCTTGGCTCCACTGAGGAGAGAATCAAATAATATTCAACCTTAGCCATCTTGTGAATTTTTTTTTTTAGCATAAACTGATACTCAACCGTAGCTTTACTGTGCATTCTGAAGCAGCAGGACTGTAGTATGGAGGAGGAAGGAAGGGCTATCTAGATATTCAGAGGTTATTGTTTATGTCAGCCAAAAACAAGGGTAGGAGGCCAGAGGAATTAAAACATGAAGTGTCAACGAAGTCACAGGAAACCTGAAGTTCTTGGCTGGTCAACCATAAATTTATCTGAACCATTTCATGCCCTTCTGTGTATATTCAGAAAAATTATTGTTCACTGGGCCAGTACGTGGAATTTCCAAAAGATTCTGAGAGAAAGAACTTTTGTCGGTGCAGTGAGTTGATTACCGTGGTGACTGGCAGTTTGGGCGGAGGGGAAGGTGGAAGGTGGAGAAGTTTGCACCCCTGCAATGGGTGAGGGGGTGGGAGGCTGAGGGGCCCTGGAGAGATTCCAGTTCTACAGGCAAGAAGGCAGCTGAAGCTTCCACTAGCTCAAGAGGCAGAGTAATTCTCTTTAGCTCCAGTCTCAGAATGTGTATTGATTATATCACCGAAAGCCAAGTTATCAATTCCATAGTCTGCTTCAGCACCATGACAGAATAGTATGGTGCTTTGGGTAAGCCTCCCTGCCAGGCACTGCTGATTGACTCAGTTCCCTTCCTGTTAGTTTACGGATTGGTCTCCCGAGTCTGACAGGTAAACATAGCTAAGGTACACAGGATGTCTGTAGAGCCAAGTGTCCGATCAACATAAACTAGACAAGCCTGTCAATGTTCTTGCTCAATGGCCTGGCTGTTTTTACACCTAGTTTTGAAAACATATCAAGTCACAAAATTAGGGATGTGGCCTAGAAGTTTTAAAAATTAGGCATGGCAATTATGTGGTTTGGGAGCACTTAAAATATAGACAACATTGCCTGACTCTAGCCATTCACCACAGAGCAATGATGGCTTCTAACTCATTCCAATACCCAGAGAGAACTTAGGCTCCAGCCTAAGTTTTGCTGGGGATGGGGGGGGGGGGGAGGAAGGTACTGCTCCTTGGTAACTGGTTTTTATGATTCTGGGCAGTTTATTTATAAATCTTGGTGTGTGTGTGAATAAATGTCACATTACACAAAACTGGAATACACAAAACACATGGTCACATTACACAAAACTAGGAATAAATGTCACATTACACAAAGCTGGAAGGAAGAGGGACAACTCACATTCATCACCACTTAAATACTAGACCCCCATTCAGGCCAGGCAGAGCTGTAAATACTCTGTGACTACCTCAACCACAATCATCACAGACCCTCCTGGCATTTGAGTTTGGGACCCCAAAAGTAAAGAAGTAAGTTTCTTCAGACAGGGCTGCAGAACAAGGCACCCTATATATCACTGGTCATGCTGTGGCACTTTAAAAATAAATGTGTCATTGCTTTAAGATATGGTTCCTTCATAAAATGTATTTTCCTTTCTGTGAACTTGTATAACTAGATGATAATGAAATAACATGTCCAAAGGATCTAGCCCGAGAAAGACAAATGCTAACATGAATAATTTCCATGTAAGACATTAGGATTTGGTATATTTTAAATGATGACTTAAAGCAGATTTGGTAAGAAGGAGTTGACCTCTTGTGCAGAAGGGTAGCTGTCTGTCTCTGGCTAATTTTTGCATTTGAGGACCCACATCTATCAGCCTTGAGTCCAAGGAAAGCCAAATAGCTAACATCCTTGCCAGCCATGAGAGCTATGACTATTAGAGAATTACTGGGACTTGATCTAACTGTGATTCTTCAAAACAAGACCTACTTTGAAACACAATGACTTGACATCCCAGTTGGGCTGAAGGACAGGAGCTTTCCCTCCCACCTCATTGTATTATCACTTAGTTTGGAACCTTGGACTGTGAAATCAGTTCTCTGGACTGCAAGAAGCCAGAAATTTGATTTGAAAGAGGCAATGGTCCCAGAACAGCCAGGTATGCCCCCAAGGAGCTTGCTCTTTAACAGGGGGAAGGAGACAACAGCGTCGAGACTTGTCCTGCAAGCAGTGCTGCTAAACGGCAGGCAAAGCCTTGGACAGAGTAGGAATCTCCATCCAGGGTGAAGGAGACATGGCTGGCCCCACCAGGATATAGATCCTGAAGGAAGTGGGGCGGGGCAGGTGGGACTCCCCAGGAGGAAAGAGAAAAAGGAGATGAGCCATTATGAGGTTGGAGCCGGGAGGTGTTCATGGAGCAAGCAAGTGCTAGATTAACCCGAGGAACAGATAAAATGAGGATATTATTCCTCAGGTGTCCCTCTGAGCAACTGGAAACCAAGTTGCTGTGATATTTGTTCTGTTTTAAACTTAACCACTGCTGTAGGATGCACTAACTCTGTGGCCTAGAAATGATCAGGGCATCGTGTCCCTAAGAGCTCAAGGGCCTGTGGCCACTGAGGTGTGCTGCTCTTGGGAAGGGGAGTGGTGAGTTCTTGGCTCAGTAAGATGAAGCAGGATTGAAGATGCAGGAGGCACAGGCAAGAGAAAGGACAGCGAATGTTGCTGAAACGAAAGCACTTGGTGAATAGGTGAGTACTGGCTAATGTGGGCCGCTGTCACTGGGCTTCATAAGAAATCCTCGGTGTCTCTCAGGGTGCCAGTATCACAGGGCCCAGGAGCTTGATTTGAGAGAAGGACTGCATTATAGAATGCTTAAAAATGGTGTCGTGTTCATGAAAGTTTTCTTGGTCTGATAGTAAAATTAGACTTTGTTTCCTCAGCACACAGAAATGATCCTGGTAAAGGAAAGACACAGATGCAGTGTGTGATTGGGAAAGCCAGTCAAGATTTTAATACTGCCGTGAGTAACGTGGTCCCTCAGACTTAAAATAACAGCCCTTTCCCATTAGTGAGGATGATGGCAGGGTGCGGAGGACAGAATCTTCTGAAGTAATTTGCTTTCTCGTGTTTCACTCTTCATCTATCAGAAGGATTCTTCCTTCAGTTACACACCATTATGAGCCTTTTAAAATAATCTTTGTTGTTGTTGTTGTTTTAACCAAGAAGGGCCCTTTTACTTTAAGACAGACATGTTTAAAATGTAGGTGTCTCTGCCTCTTTCTGCAATGTGCTAGTCAAGTGTTAAATTCCTTTTTCCCCATCTTTTCTCTGATGCTTCCTTCAATTTGTACATGCTGTTGAGCTTTCTAAATTAGTAAATTATTGATTCGCTGATTGCGGGCTCTTCCAGGGATTTCAATCACTCCGAAGTCCAAATGTGAGGCAGCTGCTGGTGTTGTTTCTGGATCTCTGTGTTAGATCTCGTAACTGACCAGCTCTCCTCACTCTTAGAAGATTTCTCCCGTTCAGTCAGTTCCCCGTGGCACCTGCTCCCATCCCCTTTCCCAGCAGCCCACCATTTTTCTGTAGGTCTTCCTTCTATTCACTGTGTTTTCCTCCTCTTTCAATCACCTCTCTTTTTGTACGGGTAGTGGGGCTTGAACTCAAAGCCTCACTCTCTTGCTTAGCTTTTTTTTTTCTGCCCAAGGCTAATGCTCTACCATTTGAACCCTGTCTCTACTTATGGCTTTCTACTAGTTAATTGGGGCTAAGAACCTCCTGGATTTGCCTGGGCTAGCTTCAAACCAGGATCCTCAGATCTAGCCACCCACCAGTGCCCGGTTTCAAGTTCCTTTCTCTCTAGTACATTTCTTCTTCCTGCACATAGCAACAGTCCTCAGGGACAAGTGCCCACCCATGTGTTAATGTACCACTTTCCTTGGTAGAATTTTGCAATGTGATAGGAAGCTTATTTGACCAAAAGAAGTTGTTTTAATCAGAACTTATGTATCATGGTAAACTAAGAGAGGAGAGGTTTACAATTCATGATGTGTCATGGTGTTTTCAAAATTCCTTCACCTATTTTCTTATCAGTTTGATATATCTGGATTACAGGAGCTAATCCAGGATTAAAGGGGTCAACTCTTGGATTGGAAGGCGTCCATCAGGTGCGATTAGAGAAAATACATATACTTAAATTTTAGTAAGCCTCTCAAAGCCTTCGATCAGGCTTCAAAGAGGATTAAATGTACTTTTGCCTCTTGAAATCTTTTTGAGGGGCAGGAATAGAACTCAGATCTTTCTCATACACACTAAATAAGAAAGAGCTCACCTCTTGCCTTTTCATCAGCAAAAGGTGTTAAAACACAAATTAAAAGTAATGTTTGAAAGTCATCTGAACAGTTGCCAGTGGAATCGTGGAGAAGCTGAGGCCCTAAGTCCTTGATAGGAGGCCGAAGAGGGCAGAGAGGCAGAGGGTCTGGTGCTGAAGAACTAGATTCCATCAGTGCCTGCCAGCGCTTGTTGGGAAGGGCTGTTTCACACGCAGCTCCTGAATGGACAGTGCACCCGCAATCAGCCCCGAGTTCCAGGCAAAGCCTAGGAAGAATGAGATACTGATCCAGGAAAAAGGCCTCAACCATGACCCTGTCTTAGGAAGGTGGGGGAAGACTGCTGCAGGGTGCCCAGGTAGTTGTTAACAAGCACAGATCAGTTGGGAAAGGGAGGAACTGAGTAAGACACTGCCAGCAGTCAGCCAGCTTGACAATGGGTTATTCTCACAGACTCTAGAAGTTCTTTATCTAGTCCTCTCCTGCATTTATTGGATCTAGAAATCCTGGAGTAAATGCATAGACTTTTGCTTTTTCTACATTTCTTTGGGGATTATGATTTTTTTTGGGGGGAGGGGGGAGAAGCTGGGGGCAGGGCTTGAACTCAGGGTCTAGGAGCTGTTCCTGAGATTGGTGTTTGCTCAAGGATTGTGCTCTACTACTTGAGCCACAGCTCCACTGCCTGCCTTTGGGTGGCTAATTGAAGATAGGAGTCTCATGGACCTTCCTGTTTGGGCTGGCTTTGAACTGCAATCCTTCGATTGCAGCCTTCTGAGTAGTTAGGATTACAGGCACGAGCCACCAACTTCCAGCCTGGCTATAATGTTTTCCTCAAGAATTTTCTCAGCTTTGCTGAAAACAGGCATAGGAAAGGCGTCTCACTCCAGTTGGGCTGGAGGAGACATGGATATAGGATGAGATTTCAGTTAACCAGCAGGGTGGAGAGAAAGTCCTACAAAACACGTGAAGGCAGCAGGGACCATGCCCAGGAGGTCTGGCCTGTGTCCACCCATCGTCAGATGCATTCCCTTGTGCTAGCCTTTGAGGGATTTTACATTTAGAACAATTAGGTCCAGTGTAGGCACTTTGGGTGCTGATAGATGATTGTAGTTGATGTGCTAAGAAAGCTGCATTGGGAGCTCCAGCCACCTTTCCTGGATCATTTCTCTCCAACCCCAGTGGAAATCAACATGCAATGCTAGGAAGATCCTTAAAAATAAATGAACTCTAATCAAACCAAGCTCTTATCTTCAGTATTCCTAAATGGCTTATTTTAAAAGATATAACCAACTTTTATCTCAATCTTGCTTCAAAACAAACATGAATCATAAATGAATCTTGCAATGATTCTGAACTTTAAGAAAATAATTCAAGAGGTCCGGGACTTAACTCCATGGAAGAATATTTGCCTGGCAAGTACAAGGCTCTGAGTTCAGTCCTTGATTCTGCAGGAAAGAAAGAGAGAGAGTGAGAGAGAGAGAGAGAGAGAGAGAGAGAGAATAATTCAAGTCAGGCATGGTGCCTGAAATCCCAGCACTTGGAAGCAGAGACAAGAAGATCCTAAATTAAAGATCAGTCTCAGCTACTGAGTGAATTCCAAATCCTGTCTCAAAAAGGAAGAGAGTCAAAGGGATGTAGCTTTAAAAAGTTTCTGTTACCCTCAAACATCTAACGCCATTCTTTTAGACACTGGTTGTAAACCAGTTTCACTAGTTATATGTTGGAAGCCTCTTTTAACGCTTTCACTTGCAGAGTGTATCAACTTGCATGCAAACTTTTATCATAACTAATGTTGCACTGAAAGCAGTGATTCTAAGTGGACTGAGGAAATAGTTTGTGGGTTGATGCTTTAGACAATCATTACAATTTTTATTAGCCACTTACTTTCATCAAGCATAATTTCTTTGAATCAATGTGGACTTATATAGCTACCCAGCATGTATCGGTTTCTTGCAGACAAATACATCATGATTATATCATATGACTGTCTATATAGTAATGTTTACTATGTAGAGTGCTGGAAGCTTTTAATGATCTTTCTCTATTTTATTATTTGCCTTTAAGAGCCTGATACTTCATCTTTTTCCCACCAGCAAAATGGAAATAGTGATAACTTCCTCATCTCTTTTTCTTCTTTTCTACCAAATGAGCTTACGTGAAAGGAAACCATGGTCAATTGTCCTTAAAAAGAACATGGAGTCAATCAATTCTTCTCCCTCAGTTCAGTTCTCTAGTTACCTTCCTAGGGTCAAGGAATGAACTTGATCTTTGTTTTTGAAGGCAAAAAAGCAGCAGTGTCTTGATGGTTTGGGAGTTGGAGCTCTTCCTTCCCTTGGCTCAGCACAGAAAGCAAATGAGCAAACAGAGTCCCTTTCTTCACGGCTACTTTTTCTTCTTCTTTGTACATCTTCCAAAGGGTTTTCCACAGATATTCGTAGCACCGTGAGATAGTCAGGCATCTCTAAATATGCTTTTCACAGCCTCGTTTCTCTCCAAGATTCCAAACTCATTTAGTAATAGAATGCAAGCCTGAGAGATCTGGGGCTATACAGGTCCTTGTTTCATGGAGCCTGGAGCAAGCTGGCTACTGCATGTCAAGTCCAGCCTCAGGACTGGCACACGGGCTGGTGCTCACTCATTGGAACAATTATCAGGAGGTGGCGGTAATGTTACTAGAGGGAAGCTAGAGGGAACTTGGCAGGGAGGCTGGATTTGGCTTAGTTGTGTCTCAAGCCAACCCTCCTAGCCCCAGGTGGCCACTGTGAGGACAGTTGGGTATAGTAATTTCACGCAAGAGTAAAATGTTCTTCTCTGTAATCACAGAATCAAGCCCCTCTGATGAAAAGCAAAGCTGGCTGATAGATTACTGCTGTCTGAAAACCATGGTTGGAAATCTAGACGATCGGGTTGATATTTGATAGTTATTCCTTTTCCTTCCCTTTTCTTTCTCCCTAACGATAGCTCAGCCTGTCTGGAGTGCAGCCGCCATGATGTCAGCAGACTGATGATGGAAGGAAAGGAGGTCAGGAACGCCTGCGATTTGCTTCCCCTGGACAATGGATGGAGGGCAGCCTGTCCCTTCCCCCCTGCTGCCCCTTGGGAATGCGTCAGCGGACTCTAGCATGTCTCTGGAGCAAAAAACAACATTTGTCTTTGTGGTTTTGTTGTTCATTTTCTTGGGCATCCTCATCGTCAGATGCTTCCGGATTCTTCTGGACCCGTATCGGAGCATGCCAACCTCAACGTGGGCCGATGGGCTTGAAGGCCTGGAAAAGGGGCAGTTTGACCATGCCCTTGCTTAAAGGGACAGAGCAGCCTCGCCTCCAGACAGAGTGAAATGTATTTCATGCCAGAGTGCAGATTCCCTTTTGTGGATGCTCTTAACAAATCAACTTTTAACAATACCTAGTCCCAAGACCACAACTCATGATTCCATAAACACACAAGTACGTGAAGGATATCTTATTTGAGGATGGTAGAAAAGGTTATGATATCAACCAAAACAAACACACAACAGTCTAAATGTCTATTTAGTCGATGAGTGACTATTGTGGACTATATGACAGTAAAAACCAAGAATATCATCACTGCCATTGAGTTTACCCTAAACCAAATTGCTGGCTAATCTAACCAGACAGGAAAGGATTTAGAAAGGAGCTGATCCCAATCTGGTGACTTAGGAAGAACTGGCTGCCTACTTCCACTCAGGCCTCTCAGTTTGCTCTGTGTATCTCCTGGGCAGAGGAAGAAAGAGTGTGGTTAGAGAACTCAAGGCAGGGACTTGGTTCTGTCCAAAGCAGGGAACACTGGCAAGTAAAGAGAGGCTTAGAAGAGATGGTTCTGACCTTGGCAGACACAAGTGGTATCATTTTAGTGCAAAACTGAATGGAAAGGCTATGTGAGAGGTTTCAAAACTTACCAGAGCTTAGCAGGCCTATTACATTCTCTGTCCTCATGTTCATACCACAGGTAGAGCTAGCTATACGTAACGTGAATGTACTTTGTTTACACTACCGATTTAAATAATAGGTTACAAGTACAGCTGCAGGTCGCTTTCATTAAAAAAAAAAATAAGAAAAAGTTTAGAGAAGACTTTTAGCATCATCAAGAAGAATGTGCATTTATAACTGTATATAGTCATCAAATAAGAAAACCTTTCAAGAATCTGCAATGCCTCCTCTCAGTTCACCAAGACAAATGTGCTGGGGTGCTGTATGGTATGGATTTTTCTGAGAGAGGGCGGGGGGGGGGGGTGGGAAAGAGCAAAGAACATGAAAGGTGATCTAATGCATCCTTATCTCACTTCAAGAAGGGCTCCTGCAGATTGTTCTGACAAGATGTAACAAACAGAACCTTTTCTAAAGGGAGGTTATTAGGGAAGTGAAAAGAAGTGAAGTGGGGGGTAAAATAGGGAAATGGGGGTCAGTATAATCAAAGTACGTTGTCTGTGTAAAAGTATGAGAATGCCACCATGAAACCCATTATTTTATATGGCTAATAGGTACAAAATAGACAAAATATCCATTCTGAAAAAGAATATGTGAACATTTGTATATTTATTGGTACGAATAACTTGTATCTAAACCAACTCTCTCTGGCTGTATTTATAATCTGTCTTCCAATTTTCTCCTCAACTAATGATCAGTTTTCAAAGTTCTTTGAAATAGAAAAGGCTAATTATGTCTCAAAAGGTAGTCTTTAATCAAACTTTATTTTTTGAATTATTCTATTTATTTTTTTCCTGGTCCTGGGGCTTGAATTCTGGGCCTGGGCTCTGTCCCTGAGCGCCTTTTGCTCAAATCTAGCACTCTGCCCCTTGAGCCACAGCACTACTTCTAGCTTCTGTAATTCATTGTAAGAGTTACAAGGACTTTTCTAATGTGGTTGGCTTTGAACCACAATCCTCTGATCTCAGCCTCCTGAGTAGCTAGGATTACAGGTTTAAGCCACTGGTCCCTGCCTATTTTATTACTATTACCTTTAAGTCATTGTACAAAGGGGTTTCAATTCAGCAGGTCAACTTATGAGTACTATGTATCTTGATCAGTGTCATCCCTTTTACTCTTCTTCCACATTTCTCCCACCCCACCCATCCCCTCAACTTTCCTAGTTCCAGTTCAATATATATACATAGAAAATTACAACTTCATTCTTGTACCCTTCCTATCTAACTTCATTCTTGTCTCTATATGCATATACTTGCATTCTGAGTATCCTGTGATCCAGGTTTCCATTCCCCATTTTCTTCTTCAGTTCTTTTTTTTCCCCAAACATTGTTATCTTTAAGTAGTTGTACAAAGGATTTGCCATCCAACAAAGTGGTTTGTGAACACAATGTGTCTTGATCAGTGTCAGCACTTCTTTGATTCTTTATCTGTTTCACATTTTGTTTATCCTTTGTCTTTCGTGATTATTCATTGGCTATTTTGAGTAATGTCCTTAGAACACCTGTGTATATGTTTTTGTTTGACAAGTCTTCAGTTATCTTCAGTATACATCTATGAGTGGATTTTCTGGGTCACGCGATAGTTCAATATTTCACTTTTTGAGGAATTGTGAGAAAAGAACTGTGTGATTTTATTTTGTATCCTTATCAGCAACATGAGAGTTTTGGTTCTTTTCTGAAATCTTTCCAGCTATTCAAATTTCTTTTTTTGCTGCAAGTTATATAACTAACACACCACTCTAAGAATGACTCAGATTTAAACAACAAACACTCATGATGTCTACATGCTAGAAGTGTGTTGATGCCTTCAAAATTCCTTTCCTTCCAGATCTAAAGCAAAAGACTGCTTTGGATTTGTGCTTATGTTGTAGCCCGTTGAACCACCAAGTATTTTTCCTGTCTTACAAATCCAGACATCTTTACCTCAATGATTATAAGGTTTTTTTCCTTCAAATGTGCCATGTATGTTCTTATTAAAAAAATTTCCTGATTTCCCTGAGCATCTACTGATCACCATTCAAGTGTTTATGAAGCCTTTGTTTTGAGCCTGATATTGCTAACACAGGAAAGAAAGAGAAGGGACAGGGCTGGTTCTCGTTCTGTTAAGCCTTTCTACCTTGTTGAGAAATCAGTGAAAGTTAGTATGGCTGAGTCATTGTTCAAATGACCAATTAAGAAGCCATGGCTTAGCCGGTGGCTGATGCCTTTAATCCTAGCTACTTAGGAGACTGAGATCTGAGGATGGTGATTTGAAACAGGAAAGTCCATGGGGCTTATATCACCAATTCACCACCAGAAATCCAGCTGTGGCAACGTGGCTCAAGAAAAACTCAAGCACAGCGCCCAGGCTTTCAGTTCAAGCTTTACAACTGAAGAAAAATCAAAAGACCCCCCCACAAAAAAAACCCCAAAAAACCCCAAACCCTATAGCTCACCCATCCCCAAATCATCCGGGAGCTCACCATCTGTATAGGATTTTATCTTAAAAATAGTCATGGGCATGGGCATAGGCACGATCACAGTTATGGTACAATGACAATGCCGATGCATCTAAGATGCATTAATCAGAATTCTGCCACCTAGGTCACTTTCCCTGGGAGTTTGTTTGTTCCTGACTTTCATCCCAGGGTGTAGTTGATTCTGCAGTTCTCAGTTAGTGCACAGATGTTCCTGAAGATAAAACACAGGGAGAGAGGAGTAAGTGTGGCCAAAACGGCGACGAAAAAAAATGTCCCAGGAGACAATGGCGCAGGTGTGCCAAATGCATGCTTAAGTGCTAGCTATAAAACTTTATACAGTGTAAGTTATTCTTAAAAAGTCAATCAGATTCTGACCTGAGAAGACGGGGTGGGTGTTATTAGCCACGTATAAAAGAAAAGGAGAAGGAACAAGGAAACAGAATCAGGAAACGGAGGAGTGGGTGTCAAACACTTGGGTGACGAAGGTAATGGGAGTGGTAGGTAGCTAGAGCTCAGCGGAGAAAGGCCAAGGCAGAGCTGGGAAAGTGAACTGTGGACGCCACTGTTGGTTCACAAGAACAAAACTGAGGCAGAGAGTGGTGTGCTGGGTCTGGCTTCCATCCCCTTCCTCCGTGCAGCATGAGTTTAAACTCTATCAGGGGACAGACCCAGACTTGGAAGCCAGGCCCGGCCAGCAGATGCCACCGGCTCTCTTGAAGCCTGCCCGCTTTTCTTTCTTCCCCACTCTATTTTTGCTTTTTCTTCTCGTATTACAGTTCCATGTTCTACCTTCCCCTGGCTGAGGCTCTCCGCTGCTCTCTGGCTCAGAGGAGAGAAACATAACAAGTGATAAAAAGCTTTGGCCTCTCCGGAGAAAATTGATCCCCCTGTGAGAAGTGTTCAGTGTGTTATAATTACTCTCACTCCTTGGGGTGAGCCGCATATTCGTGAAAGGTCACAGGAGCTTTTCTCTCTCTCTCTCTCTCTCTCTCTCTCTGTCTCTGTCTCTGTCTGTCTGTCTGTCTGTCTGTCTCTCTCTCTCTCTCTCCCTCTCTCTCTCTCGGGTTTCTGGTTACAGGACTTACAACACAGCACTTTGCCTATCCTACAAGATATTTAGCATGAGTTCAGCTAGCCTTTATGGTGCACATCCACATCTCATGACAACAAAGAAAAAGGAAACTTTCCCAAGGTCACTCTGGAATAGATTTGACTTTTGATTTAGAAAAATGTGGTCACCTCCTACTTACTCAGAGCATTAAATCACCTCCTACTTACTCAGAGCATGGTTAATGTGCTCGGAGACCCCCCAAGTTCTGGATCAGCATCTTTCCTTCTGAAAGAATGCAAAGGCTCATGAACAGGGGAGAAAAATCAAGGGTAGTTTGGAATGAGGAGGTTGACTTGACTCCTGCTATTACATTAATAAGCATCGTGAGATGAAAATTCTGCTATTTTTAAGAGTTAAGGCTGAAGCGAAATGAAAGTTTCGGGAGGCAGAAGCTAGTGCGTATGTTTATAGATGCAGAAAAATATGCATTTGACTTTCTTTTTTATTGGGTTCATTGCACAGCATGGTACTTCAACTCTGATGGGACAAGCATATTGATAAATTTGTTGCAATAAAAAATTTCACTATAAATAATTAAGCAAGAATCCTTGTAGTTTCAAGATGTCAGTTTTGAGAATTGACACACAGCATACATTGAGAAGCAATTATTTTTCAGAAATAGTCTGAGCCTCTAAGTAAAGGATAAAAATCTGAGATTTGTAGAACGTGAGGTAGATGTCTCATTTATGATGAATCACAAAGTTGCAGATTAGAGCTACAATTTCTAGTAAAAGTGCCCGCATCATTATCGGTGCCTGTGTAGTTCAGGAATAAACCAGCTCATGGCAGAAGAGGTTATTTGCTTATTTTTGCATGGTAAAAGAAGAGTTCTTCTAAGCTTTGCTTGTCTTTCCTGTTCTTAGAAGGGATGAAGGAATTATTCCCAGACAGATGTGACTCTGCAGATGTGAGCCTTTTTAACCTGGAAGATGAGCAAGGGCTCCACACTTCAGTCCGTTTGGAGATCTTTCCAAGGTCATTTGTTTTAGAATAGGAAGTATGCTGGTTAGCACAGAGCAAGGCAGCCTACACTACATTTTCTCTCCTGTTTCCTGCTATCTATGAATATGCATGCCTTGTCTCAAAGTGCCAAAGGATTTTCTTAGGTCTCTGGACCCCACAGCTTTCCCCAGGATCATGACTGATGTCTGCATAGTTCCTTTGCTTTAGACTAAGAGGTATTCCTTTTAAATCATCTTTCAAAAGAGGCTTCCCCCTTTATTCTCTTCCAAGCCCTGTTATCAGCCCTAAGCTTATGCCATTTTGTAAAAAGTAATGTCATGGGTTGAAGTTTAAAAAGCTAGAAAGGTTGCATCATCTATATCAATTGTCTTATTTTACATTTAAAGAAATAGAGAAATCGGTCATAAGACACAACCACCCACTAGCTGTAATCAATATCTTCCCTACGTGGTGTGTAGATCCATTCAAACAGAATGACCCCCTAGTAAATTCATATGTGAAAAGATTCTTTTGCTGAACAATATGACAGCAAAAGGAGGAGCAATAACAAAGCCCTGGATGTTGCATTTTCTTTTGGAAAATGCTGAAGTTTCAGTTGAAGTCTGGGAAAATAGAAAGACTTCCAATTAGACTTCAGAGGATAAAGGCTTCGAAGTTCCTCTATGTCCACCCAGACTTTTGAGTTGTTTTCCTTAGCTGAAGAGGTGTAACATGGGAGCTTTCAACCAAGCTCATCAAGGCTATAGCTACTACAATGTCATGGGTCACCAAAGCAAATCTTGGGAT